ATATTTTGGTTTTGGGAGTCCCCAACAACAGGTTGACATGCATGCAAGGTCAAAAAACACTTTCATTGACTTAATATGCATTTATTTTTTAGCTTACTTGCTCAACGACTCCCAAACGATTCGCTCAATGATTCATTTTTCCAAACCCCTCCTTTGCGTGATGCTAATCGGCGGTGATTGGTCATGTCTGATAAAGCAGCGTTTGTGAGCGCAGTGCTTCTTTGTTTACAGCGTTTTAACAGCTATTTTACCGCTCCAAAAGCGGCACCTAGTGGCAAAGAATGAATTTGCATTTTCATTTAGACCAACTCGAAAAGACCAAGTGGGCGGCAAAATGCTAATGTTTCATGTGACATCAACATGAAACGGCTTGGGATTCGTTTTAAATACGACTTGTTTCAATGATTCAGAGTCGACTCTTTCTTTTGAGAGAGAATAACTTTATATACACGGTGCACTTTCAGATTTAAAACTTTGCAGGATGTTTTCATTCACTTAGAGCTGTGTTACACACTGCATGAAAGGTAATTTTCAAAAATCCATAATAGGGGCACTTTAAGACTAGCTTCTGCTCTCCTAGAGAGTTCTCGGTTTGTGTTTTTCCTGACCTTTCTTTTTCAAAGGTCAGAAAGAACAGTTCTGCACCACTATTGGCATTAAGGTATTGACTTTGATGCGAAATCATTTCAGAACAGACCTTTCACTTTTTATAAGAATATGTATTGGAGCTAAAGAAATCCTACGGTCACTGAATGCTGGTCACATAAGAAACAGTCACATAAGAAAATACATGAACACTCTTGATACATAAAAACTCTTAATGAAAACAAATTAATTACATGATACTACTTGATAGTCATATTTAATTCAGAACTCTGAAGAAACCCAGTGGCTGTATGTCACATGTAGAGAAGAGAGTGTAGATTTATTGCTTTTCATTTTAAATTACTTATGTTCTCTAGACAATATATTTTCATTTCCATCAGGAAGGAAGGCTACTGTTTGCATTAAAAAAAATTAAACACACTAAGAAGAGTGATTTCAGATAATATCTGTTAAAGCATTAAAACCTTTCATCTGTCATGGATACTGCAGCTTAAGTCAGTGTTTGCATTTTTAGAAGGTGCTGGAGCACACAGTATGCTAATGTTCTTTGTGCTTGTTTGATCTGTCATTCTCTGTTTCTGAATGCTCCACAAGGTGATATTTTATATTAAGTCGTGGAAGTCGTGGCCTAATGGTTAGAGAGTCGGACTCGTAACCCAATACTTTGAGGCAAACTAAAAGAATTAACATATGATATCTAGTGATGCAAATGATTGTAAAATATGCAGCCCTAGACATTAAAAACGGTAAAATGTTATTTAGGAAAAGGAATTTGACCGCTATACAAGCGGTCAAACAGTACCACCAAGTGTTTGCTTTGAGCTGTGCCTCTACCACTCTCTTTTCGGATGTCATGACTCTGTCTCTATATATACTATACCTAAAACTATAGTTTCACGTTTCTAAGTATTCCCGATGGATATTAATTATTTACATCGCACATTATCACTTTTAAATACGGCGTTTCTAATATGCACAGCAGGCTCGTCTTTGACGGCTTACTCACATTTGTTTTTTCCCCCAGCAATTCCACTCACAGCTCCAGCAGATGTCAGTAATGCCCTTAGATAGCAAAGATAGTAATCACGACTATATGCGACTGCTAATTATGTCAGCAAATGAACACGTCATGTTGTTGGGTTAAAGTCATAAGCGTTTTCATATCAGCCTATAACCGTTCTCATGCTTACAATATAACGAGTTACTATTATTTTTGGTATTTCGTTGCACAATGAGTATTTGTATGCTTTTGGTTGCTCGAAACTGTCGATGTTGCTGCGAATTCAGGACCATGGACAGAGCCAGTGGCGCTGCGATCCACTTCTATACTCCTGTCACCAAGAATTGATCCAACCAGCATCTCAATTTATGTACCATAATATTAGAGTTAATAAGTAAGTATGTTTTAGTTAAAAAGTGGGAAGAGGCTGGTAATTTGAGAACTTAGTATGGTGTACTATAAACAATTTGATTTTGAAAAATCAAGAAATTTCCAAAATATTCCAACGACATCAGCTGCATGCTATTACTACTACTACTACTACTACTACTAATATTTTTTTTCTAAAATTAAAGAACTGGGTAATTTCAGATCAAATTCCTGAATTATTTCACACTGTAAGAACAATTGGATTAGTTTTCCCTTTTCTTAACTTCCACAAGATCAACATTGATATTTGAAATACAATTCTTATGAGGAAAGAGCAATGTCTTGCCCAGTCTACAGGCTATTTTCAATATATAATTGATTATTATTACTATTATTTATTTATTTATTTGAATTTGGTGAATATTTATTATCACATTCTTGTAAAATACACAAATTTCATTTAAGAGTGCAAAAGAATCTATTATGTCTCAAGTGATTTTAGGATGCCCTGGTTCCTGACAAGAAAAGGAACCTCCGTATGATGTTCTGTGCTTAGGGCGGGGGTCTTTCTCATATTTTCAAGCCCAGGGTCCACCATAACCCTGTCAGTCACGTTCTATGACGCATTATTGACACCTCATGTGAGGCGCACAGGGACACTCGGTTTGCATGACCACTCGTTTCATTGGCAGCAGTGTTAAACCTAGCTATCCTCCTCCATTAAACACACAAAACAATATTTGAGTTTTATTTATTATTGAGCTGACGTTTGCGCGTGCGGATGTGTGGCGTAGGGTATGCAAATAATTTTAAAGTAAGAACCGCAGGATTGTAGGAAAACATTTACATATGTCGTGTTTCACCGTTAGATGTAAGTGCATCATGAATCGGTGACATCCAGAGGATTTACGCTACCACCGCCACAGCTCGCGGGAAACACGCATGCGCATTGTAAAAAAACAGCCGGTCTTTAAAAAAATCCTTATGCCAACGGATGTAATCAAGGCAAAGAATATCTCTTATCTCTGGGTATACATGGTGAAATTGTAAGTATGGGGATCCTAAGTTGTTTTTAAATATACAAGGTATCCGTGGAGAAAATGACCTTTGATTTTGATTGTTGAAGATGGCATGTCATTTTTGACACAAATGTCTTTTCGATGGTTGTCCTGGGCGATAAAGAGATATTATAGCTGTGCTTCATGGTGGCACTTTGCAATGCGATGATATGCGATGGAAATACTGTTAGTCCATTACGTTTTTTTTTTTTTTGCTTTTCAGAAGAGTAGAATGCGCTTTGTCTTTTTATTTTTCACAGTGCGTCCCATCTTTAAGGATGCGGTTCACATTTAAAGCTATAATATTAATTTTTTTCGTCTGTTCTGCTTCGGTAAAATCTAGCAGACCATATCAGTGTTTTCTGTGAGCCAGTGTAATCATCATCATTTGCTAGTCTTGAAATCACGCAGACAAAATATTCCGTAAATTACCAAATTATTTTTTAAATCTTGTTTATTACCATCAAACACGGCCGAGCATTTATATGCACCGCGGCTGTGATCACTGATGAAGTGATCTGACTGCAGCTAGATGCGTGCTGCTCCCCCTCCTACCCCAAAATATTCCAACATCTTCCAGCTCAAGCGAGGAATTTGATTCCACGATTCTTTGGAATTAACACAGCAAGATTTAGCAAGATCAAAACTATTGATCAGGAGTCATTTGATAATTATAACTCTTATTTGTATGCATTTAAAGACAGCTCAGTCCAGGACCTTATTTATTTGCTTCAAATAACCTTCGGTTTTTTACCCAATGCATGGTTTGTTTGAGCCCCAAAGCCAGGTTGTTTAAATCAGTACAGACACCAAAGCTTGAAGAAAGCCCACCCACATGGCAACAAGTCTAAATTTATTGTGCTGTAGGCCTAAGCATGTTTGCAGAATGAGAAGCACTGTAACACTGAATGTGATAATTATCTTATGATAATAAGCGATTTCATCAACATGCTTGTGATTCAGATATGGTGGAAACTGGAATCTATAAGTTATTAGTTGTACAGGTTGACTTTATAATGGAAAAACTACTTTTTCCACACAAAATCTAGAAATTGTTTACAAAAAATGTTGGTGTTAATATGACAAGTGTTTAAGTATGGGTGATATGCAAGTATTCAAATCAGCTGTGGAGAGCCCTTTGAAATAAGTATGACATGACATGTTAGGTCATGTTATTGTTCGTGACATGCTAGGACATTTTGGTTTCTGGTCAAGTTAAAACATGTCTTCTTCACCCAGTTCATATGCGCATTCAGCATCTTGTGGGGGTTGCTGTTTCATCCTTTTATTTTCTAGCACGGTCAGTTAATGGAAACCACTTTCGTTCATATTTGTTGTTTCGTTAAAAGCATTATTTTCTCCAATGGAAACCACAAAATGTTTAAGTGGACTTGAGGAAAATAACGAAATCTACACCCTACAATTGCTTGTTGAACCATTAATGCGGCCCTTTGATATCTGTGGCTGCAGTTGTATTGGCTCCATCTCAGTTGCATGCTGTTTCCTGCAGCCCATGGGATCAGAGCGGATGGAGATGCGAAAGAGGCAGATGTCGGTGCAGCAGGAGTCGGTGGCGGGCACCAAAGCACCGGCGCAGAACGAGCAGCCTGGCCAGGGGAACCGTGGCTCCAATGCCTGCTGCTTCTGTTGGTGCTGTTGCTGCAGCTGCTCCTGGTAGGAGTTTTTTCTTTCGTTACACTGCTAATGTGAGATCTTATCTAACAAGGTTCATTTCGGACCAAACTAATGACCAGGAAATCGATGTATTATAAGAAAATAATTGCATCTGACAAGACTATTCCATATCTTCTACTACAGTAAATATACTTGGAATATTGCTTAGATGTGATTTAAATACTATTTTTGTTCATTCTGCATGTAAAGTATTATGTAATGTTTACTGAAGTGTCTGAGATCCCAAGATATCTGCTTTGAAAACCACCAGAACTCATGACATTCTGGCTGTGAGTTTATAATGAGCACCAGTTACAGTTATAAACTGAACAATGAGCAGGTGAAAGCTACTCCAAGGCTTCCTAATGCCTACTGTTAGGTGTCTTGGGATCATGATGTGTTTACTACATTGCAGTCTCACTGTTAGGAATGAAGACAGAGAAGAGAGGAACCGGAGAGCCTCGTATGATTTTAAAGCAGAGGGGAATGCGGACTTCGAAGAAAGGTCAGTCGCTTTTACAAAAAAACCAAAAAAACAAAACGGGCATATTGGCTAGCTACAATGTTATTTTAATTAGATGTAATTTGATATTCATATATTTTTTATTTTATTTTAATTACTATAGTTTTGCCAGGTGAGAAATTACACAATAAAATTTTTATTTAAATGAATTACTATTGTTCTGCAAGATGCAACTTTCTGACAAATTAGACCTAAAATATTTTTGCCGTAACAGTATTTCCTGAAAAAACATGTTGCTGATTCGTTTGTTGCCAAAATTTACTAAGACCCCTCTGTTTTTTGGCAGTCTGAAACCGACTGCGGAGGAGGTCCTCTTGTGGGGGCAATCTTTCGACAAACTGATGCACTGCCCCACTGGAAGAAGTGCCTTCCGGCAGTTTCTGCGCACTGAGTTCAGTGAGGAAAACATGCTCTTCTGGTTAGCCTGCGAGGAATTCAGTAAGGAAACCAATAAGAGCGTCATCGAGGAGAGGGCGCGGATAATATATGAAGACTACGTCTCTATCCTCTCACCCAAAGAGGTGAGAGTATGCATCAGCCCGTCTATGAACAACCTAATCACATTTCCTGTATAATGAGAGTGATTAATATTCTTGATTTTTGTGCATTTTTTTCAGGTGAGCCTCGATTCTAGAGTTCGAGAGGTTATAAACAGGAACATGTTGGAGCCATCATCCCACACGTTTGACGATGCCCAGCTCCAGATATACACACTAATGCAAAGAGACTCATATCCGCGATTCATGAACTCGCCGGTCTACAAAACCCTGCTCAAGACAGTCCCTGAGCAGCTGGTGGAATCTTAGATCTCTGTGATCCCGGTCGAATGCCCCCTCCCTATCTTTTGTTTGTTACCTTTTCTTGTGTAGAATATGTTTAAAAGGACCTCAGCGTGGGTCTTCCCAGGGATTTTACCGCTATAGCGATCTGTACCTGAAAAAAAGACGCTCAGGTCTCCAGGTCACTGGATTAAAAAAAAAAATTATTGTCTCAAATTTCCTGAGGGCTCAACACCACAAGTACTGCTACAGATCAGTATAGCAAACGATGCTCCAAAGGATTATCAGTGCGTTTAGATGTTTTAAAGAAAATAATCTATTTTATTTGTGTTGAAGGTTTTTTTAAATTGTTTTTAATTCATTTTTTTTGTATCAATGTTCGAAGGAAGATGTGATACCAATCGTGGGCTATATACAGTATATACAGTAGATATATTTATGAATTTATATTACATTTCTTCAACCTTTTTTTTCTCGTGTTATAATATTTAAAGAAAAGGGAATTATGGGTAACAAGAATTGCCCGCTTATGAAAAATGCGTATGAGAATCAAAGCTCAAGTCAAGGCAACACTTCAGCTCTACTCACGGGACCGCCCTGTTGTAAAAAGTATTGTTTCAGCTACTTTATCAAATAATTCCTATTATAATGACTTGGCATCTCCAATGAGAAATCATCATTATCAGAATTTTTTTTTTTTAAAGTGTAATCAAAGAGATAATTATTGTAAGGGGGAAATATATTATATTAAAAAAGGTTGCACTGTATCATGGATAAGAAATAAATATTATCATAAGGAATGAAACGTATTTAAATCAGTATTCAAAATCAAATAGCATATATCAGACAGCTTAGTACAGTTATTTTCTCTGCCTTATGTACTGCTAGAAAATATCAAGAATTTATTTACAGAAATATCATCAATCTATAAGTGTTTTTCTGTATCATAGCTTTCATTTATTCCCATGCTACATTCAGAACAAGCAGCTAAGAGTTGGTTGGGCATGGCAACTATTCCTTGCATGTACCCAAAGACACTATAAAGACTGAAAGCCTCATTTGTGTACAGTACTGTATGTAGAGGTAGTAATATTTTTTACTAATGACCTCAAATAGAAGAGATTTAACATGCAGGTATTATACCACAGTATCAAATGTGCTTTAGATCTAAACATGAGCCCTGAATGGGAAGGTGCAGGTTTTATTGCTAGGACCCTCATAAGTAGATGACACCAAAGTAGCCAAGTCCAGTAAAACTGTGCGATTAGCTTTCTCTCCAATACAACCATCTAGAATTGGAGCTGCCAAGTTCTTACTATATTTTTAGTTCTGTGAATTACTTTGTTGCCTGACTTTCATGTCGCTCAAAGACAAGATCCTCACTCGGGGAAGTGCCTTGACATTCAATTTTGTGGCATCTCTTTTTTTGGCAATAGTTGATTTAAACTCTTGCCACATACAGTACGTAGACTCTGGGCCTTTGATCAGTTCATGAGATGACTTGTCCTGCACGGTGACGTCTGAATTGAACTATTGCACTTCATTTGCCCCTAGTTTGGGAGCAAAAAACACCATTGGTTTTGTCAAGTGCTGAAGTCGCACATTTAAGAAAGTGGGTCTGTTTGTCGGTTAGTCAGGTACAATTCATTAAGATTATTGATCTCAGTCCAGACATACATCTACCAACATGTATTTCATGGTGGTGCTTCTACTTGTCTTAGACTAACTTAATATGAAATGTGCAATTGATATGTGCAATTTGAGCTGATGGATTCACCACATAGATCAACCTCAAACACAATCGAAGCCAATGGTTTGGAGTTATACTGCCTATAAATCTTTTTGTCTTTCTCTCTCTTTTTTTTTGTTTTGTTCTGTAAAGTATACAAAAAAGTGTTATTTTCCAATCAGTTTACATAAAAATTACTATACATTTTTAAATTATTAATATGTGAATGTTTACAGTAATCAGATTAGTTTTTTTCTGTTTTAACGAATTGAGAAAAAATAATGATTTGTGGGCATTTGGAATCTTTAAGATACAATAAAGCACAATAATTTTAAAATGTGTGATTGTTGTCAGAGCTGTGGAATAGTGGATTGACATATATGCCATATATGAGCTTGTGGGACCATAAATAAATAATTTTAAATAATAGAAAATATATATACAATATATACATAAAATGATCAGTTAATCAAAAATATTTATAAAAATACATTGATATGATTTGTAGGGCATGCATATAAATGTATAATCAAAAACAAATTTTTTTTAGAAAATCACCAGTACCAAAAATGGCATTATTTGATCTGTATTTGCCATTTGACATGTAAATAACGAATCCAAATATTCAGAATAACCCCAGGGGTTTCAGTTTGGTCTTCATTTACAGTGGAGCGTAACCGTGCTGCCTACTCGCTCTCTGCTCTGGAGAGGATGCACCTGGGAACCTCACAAAATAACCTTGAAGCAAGTGTCCTCCCCATTTAACATTTAACTGTTTCTAAGGGCTAAAGTTAGTGTATATATAGAGCATTAATGTAAACATCTTTTCTTATTAAAAATGGGCGAGTTGTTCTGCTTATCTTAAACTACTGTAAATGATGAGCAAAGATGCAGTGGTTTTAGGATGATACAAACCTCCTGTTTTCCATTTGCACAAAAGCACATCAAGAACAACCACCAAAGGGTTGTTTGTTATTCAGATGAGACATTGCTAATGCAAGGGGCTTATTAGGACATCAAGGCAGTAGTGGATACTACAGCAAAATCATTTGAGAAGAGAGCGATAGAAATTCACTAAACTGAGCAACATGTCATCTGGACGCAAGGCAAGTACTATCCACTTTGTATTGATTGCCGATGTCAAAAGTAACATTGCCATGACTTATCTAATATGCTGATGTATATATATTTATATATTTTACAACACATTATCTCATTATAAATCTGTTTTATGGGAATGCTCTTTGTTGCTTGTTAAATTATTAGCTTTTTTATTTTGGAGAAAACCTCAGAAAAAAAACAAACACATGACCTCTACCAAACAAAACATAACATTAAAAAAAAAGAGATTATGTTATGGATGGGACTCAAATATTAATTCAGATCCCGATCATGCACAAATCACTTAAAAAAAAAAAACAAGAACCTACAGTGAACTTGATCTATAAGACTAAAAAAAGAATTGACAAGAAAATCAACCATCTCAGATATATAATGTGACGTCTTGTTAATATGACGTATAAAAATCATAAACACCATCAATCTTTAAAACATTTTACTCCTGGAAGTAAAAGCCATATACACAGTAAAAATGTGTAAATCATGCATATAAATATGTATAATTCAGAGTGCCAAAGAAACTCAAAGTCGCTTCCAAATGAATGAGGTTAAAAAAATCTTGAGCCGTTACCAGAAGCAAACATATGCTAAAAGCATTTTATTTGAAAATGGGCAAGTCTGTCTAGGAAAATTAAATATTTTTGACTAGTTTTCATTAGAGCAAAGCAAAACTGTCTAAATATGAATGTTGTATGTCGTCAAAATATTTAACTACGTATAAAAAGTGATGGTAAAAGAAAACAGAAATTCGACAACATTGATCATAGTCCAAAGGCCTATGGCCTAGCTATACGTCAAGTTAAAACACAGGACATGAGTTTGGACCATTAAAATAAAACAAACAGTTGAGTGTGGCCTTTGTACATCAGGTGCGCCATTAAATTGTTGTCCATGATACAGAAACGTGGTCCTGGAATTTAGCTACATCTCCAAACACAGAGAACAAACCCCAACTTCAGCAGAACTGTGGAAACAGATTGAATAGAGACAGCGTTAATTCCATTTGTCTTGTTTGTGGATAATATCAATTTACCAATGGATACAACAAAATAAAATAGCAAAAGAAAAAACATACCTTCCACCTATTTCCACATTCAGTGCAGAAGACGAATGTTGTCATCGGTTCATCAGCACTTCGAGTTTGAACCTAAAGAAAGTTTTGCGTTTATAAAATGTATAAATAAAAAACCCTACACTGACATTCATAAACATCGTCTAGGATTACCTGGGTGTAGGTACACTTCTTCTTTTTGCACTTGCCACAAGTAAACAGGTCAGTCTGGGTGCCCCCAGAAGTGGCCACCTGGTGGTCCCTGATGGCTTCTTTGGTCAGATTCTTACGCATCTCCTTCAGCTCATCACTTGCCATTTCCTGTTGGATTTAGATTTCCACAATGTCAGTATGAGAGAGAACATGTTTCTATAATTATTACACAATGTTAAAGTGAACTGGTTGTCACTCACCTCTGCTGTCATTTTTGCTATGCGGTCTGGACTCACATTCCCACACAGCACATTCCTTCTCAGGTTGGGGTTCTTTGCATCCTTAAGATTGGATATTCGGCTTCGTACGCGATTCTTGTATTTCATATCAGTATTTTTTAACTCCAAAAAGATACGTGCAAGTTGATCAAGGAAATGCATGTGAAATTTAGTATGCTGACAACTAGTATTTTTTCAGACTTCGCTCACATTTCAATAACAATTGCTACTTTTTTTGGGATGAATATGAAAAGGATATATTCTTCTATCTGAGCTCCAAGTTCATCGCAGTCAGCACCAATCGCAATGTAATCATCTAAAAGAAAAGGACAACACTTTAACCATTTAAAAACAAGAAAAATGCAAATATATATATACAGTGGGTACGGAAAGTATTCAGACCCCCTTAAATTTTTCACTCTTTGTTATATTGCAGCCATTTGCTAAAATCATTTAAGTTAATTTTTTTTTCCTCGTTAATGTACACACAGCACCCCATATTGACAGAAAAAAAAAGAATTGTTGACATCTTTGCAGATTTATTAAAAAAGAAAAACTGAAAAATGCTCAGTATTTAGTAGAAGCACCCTTTTGATCTAATACAGCCATGAGTCTTTTTGGGAAAGATGCAACAAGTTATTCACACCTGGATTTGGGGATCCTCCGCCATTCCTCCTTGCAGATCCTCTCCAGTTCTATCAGGTTGGATGGTAAACGTTGGTGGACAGCCATTTTTAGGTCTCTCCAGAGATGCTCAACTGGGTTTAAGTCAGGGCTCTGGCTGGCCCATTCAAGAACAGTCACAGAGTTGTTGTGAAGCCACTCCTTCGTTATTTTAGCTGTGTGCTTAGGGTCATTGTCTTGTTGGAAGGTAAACCTTAGTTCCAGTCTGAGGTCCTGAGCACTCTGGAGAAGGTTTTCGTCCAGGATATCCCTGTACTTGGCCGCATTCATCTTTCCCTCGATTGCAACACTTCTGCGGATTATATCTTACTCCAAAAATTGAGTTTTTTATGTTTCAGCTGTTCGATCGCACCAGCGCCTCGCGGGCACACACCCCACATATTCTAGCAATTCAAACTTACATTGCAGTCTGTTTATTATCAAAATAAAATACAGTCAACCAAACATATAAAAACTGGTCAGTTTAAATAGACCGTAGTATAGCGGTCCACTCTGCTGTTATGCCAAGGACTTTTTTGCTCATGTGAAGAGGATGATCTTTTCCGTCTATATGCGAATGCGTGTAAAGTACAAGCCTAGTTTACATTATAAATAATAGTTTAACATTCAAATACATTACGAATATGGAAACATTTGGATTTGTGCCGAATAAGACGTGAGTAATAACCTCCAAATACATCTCAGCATTAAAGTTAACGATTAATCGATCGTTAATTTAAACGACGATCGATCATGGAAATGATCGAAAATTGACATCCCTAATATATATATATATATATATACACACACACATACACACCCCTTGAAAAAGTATACAGACCATAATCATATATATAAACATTTTCAATTAGCTAAAATTGTCTTTAATTTCATATGAAAGTAATATGACAGTCTAAAAATTACACAAAAATAAATTATTAAATTGATATATAATTAAAGAGTCCAATTAAATTAGTATTAATCAAAGTATTCCATGCATTTTGCACCATTCACTCAAGTTTGAATGTACGATTTATAATTCAGAAAGATAACAAAATTAGTACCAGGTCTAAATACTCTTGGCAAGACTTAAAAATATGCGTGCGGAAGAATTGCCTGCCATGACTTGCCTCCTGTTTGCAAAGCACTTGACAGCATCTCCCTGCACTTGATACGGACTGAGTCAGATGTGCCTGGTGCTCGTGGGAAAGTGGCTATCAGTGTGTTGGGTGCTACATCGACAGACTCACTCTTACTGCTAGAATTACTGCTTGAGCTGAGAGAGAAGAAATAAAGAGACAGAGGAAAAAGGAATAGAAATCAGAGGATGAGGAAGTTAGATCTATAACGCCTTATTTAATGAGCAATGTGATTATTTAATGATATGATTTATTTAATCTTATGACCATTAAAATGGTCTTGGTACCTCTCCTCTCTGGGCTCCGGGCTGGCTTGAGATGGTGAAACCACTGGTGTTGTGTGTTCCTTCTTTTTCTCATCAGAGTTCTTTTCCGCAGCAGGTTCATCTGGATGTCAAAACCACTCGTTAGACATTTCATCAGTGTAATACTAAAAATGATCAAAAATTGACCTATATATCTGTGTGGTGATTCAAAATATTGTAAAAAAAGGAAACCTGCAGTTGCTACCACATACAGGCAATTACTGGTATTACAACAACACAAACCCATCATGACTTATATTAATGTTACATAAGAAACTAAACGAGTAGTTTGAAATGAATTATTCAGTATTATACATTATATTATAAGCAAAGCCCCAAAAAGTATTTAGACACATAAGGCCCACTTTAAAAATGTGTGTGCAGTGCAATGACTGGTTTAATACTTGATACTTCTAACATAATGGAATTCATACTTTAATTGCAGCTTA